AAAAGTAATGCATCAAAGATACTTTAGGGTTTGGTTATTTTCTCCTCATTGTTTTCTCATGAATTCTTTTATGCTTGCATGTTGTCAATAGATACAAACAATATATTTAAAAAGAAGACAAAATTATTTATGAGTTGGAATTTTATGATGGAATGATTTTATGATGGAATGATCCTGAAGGAAGTCCCAAACCTGATTTTGGCCGAAGTTCTGCTGGTAGTGCTTCCCCATGCAAAGTTAGCATGTTTGTAATTAAATTTGAACCACAGTTAAATTCTATTTTCTATGATATGCCTATTGTTGTTCTTCATAAAAAATACACCATTTATTTTCCTCTGCATAGTAAAGTAAACGTGGCATACAAATTTACAGTGAGACTTGTCAACGAACATGAGATTATGGATATTAGTCTGAGCATATTCTATTATATTCAGTTTACTGCTAGTGCAATAAAGCTGTCATCAGATCAAATGGGATTTTATACTGCATCAGCTATAATACAATGCTGTTAAATTGGAAGTATATCAATTTTCTATTGTTCTCTTACTCATGAGTTATGAAAATTAGAAAGTTACACACAGCATCATGCTATGGCTTGCATATCCCAACAGATCAATAATGATTTAGTCAGGGTAGCTTGAGGCATATAATTAATTTCTGATTACAAGGCTGTTTCACAGTGAAAAATAGTATGTTTTACTGCAGTAAGAACCTGAAATCCATTCATTAAAGCTTGTATTAAAAAAATGAACAGTAGTTCCCTAATTTTGTTTGGGACAAAAACCAGAAATGAATAAAATCCTCTTTATATTCCAAGATAGGGGAGAACCAAAAATAGTTAATGGAACTACATTCACTTTCAAAGGAAGGCTTCAAAACACCACCAACTTCCAAGAAGCTCAGTTCGTGGGTCTACAGTTCAGGAAATCAAGAGCCACCAGAGCTCACTTCTGGAGATGAGAATACCCAGCTTCAGGTAACTGTACTGTACTCAGTTTTCTTTCCTTAGGTAGATTGATAAGACACAACACTGAACAAGCGGCTTCTTTCAGCTACACTTGGGGGTGTTCTGACAAAAAAAAATGACTGTGGGGGAATCATATATTTTTTTCATAGTCCTTTCTAATTGTTTTCAAAATGAGACATTTACATTCTTTCATTTTAAAGTGCCTTCTCACTTGCAATTACTTGATACTACACAATATGTCTGTACGTGCAATTAATACAATGTACTTTGCATGTAGCGTATGGCATAGAGCATTTTAATAGTCTATGCTGAATCAAAAATGAATAATACATTCATATATATTGCATTTAATTTTGGTAAGAAGTACAAAAGTTCATTATTTAATATTTATATTCCACTGGTGCTCAGAGACCTGTCAGGATTGAAGTGGTCATTGTACTCTACAGAAAAGGTCTTTGCTCCCGTAAAACCTGGAGATGTCTTTCACTTTTCATATAAGTCTGAAAACGTATCTAAGAACTAGTGGATAGGTGACCAGAACAGACTTTATCTCAACTGAACCTTCTGTTTTTCATTTCTCATGATCTGTTGTGTTAGGTGTGGGTTCATTAGACATGCACTGAGCTATGTGACTGACATCTTCCACAATTAGTGCTCACTTGTAATTAGATGCAACGCTGACAAGGACTCTCTTGTTTTCTATAGTTTCACAGAAAGACTTTTTCCTTCTTCTTTGGCACTGATCCATTAAAACCGTTGCACCACATTCAGCTGGTGGCTGGGAGAGCCATCAAAACATTGCTTGTGTATCATTAGCTCCACCTCTTGGATTAATTCGGTTTTTACAGATCCAGTAGTTAGTTCATAGGGGAATCCTCTCTGGAAATGTAAAAAGTCTTGAGGCAGTACCCTAATAAAAGCATCTGGATCAATTGCTCTGTCCTGCAAGTTTAATGTTCAGTGTTTGATTAGCAGTAAAGTTTAATTATGAACTATTTCACTAATAATTTGGGTTACATTGTCCTCTAGTGGCTCATATAGATAACTGCCTCGCTGACGACTCCTTTTGCCTTGTATTTTAAATCCTGTCATACTGTTTTCATACAAGTCCAAGTAACCTCGGAAGAGGACTGATGCAATGGCCAGATAAAAAGTTTGCATCTTACTACCACTGTTTCCGTACAGCAAGATCTATCCTCTATAACTGCGTACTGTCTGCTTAAGAAATACATATTTAAAATAGTTCAAAGTAACAATAGAAGGTTGTATGAAGGTACTGTATTTCTGCATTTGACAGAAACAAAAATATTCTTCTTACTGACAGTAACAAAACTAAGCGTGCATTTTTTTAATAGGTTGAAGTGTTCACCTCCAAAAATGCGTAGAGATCTCACATGAAGGAAAACAGAACAGCCTCCAGCATGTCCTGTGCCTACTCACACGTAAACCTCAATAGTGCCAGGCTGTTGTCCTGTAATGTGGAAGCACCACCTTTCATGGGAGCAGTGAAAGCATGAGAGCACTTTGCAGCTGGATGTTTGCCAGCAAAATGCAGATGTTCACAAATGGAGGGAGGAATCTGTGATTATGGAGAATAATGCCAGGGTGTTTGCAGTGAGAAAATGCATATTTGATGTTACTTTGAAAAGATGATACTATATTTTCTGATGTGCTGAGTTTGTTTGTCCCCTGTGGCAGAGCAGTAGGATTGCCTGCAGCGGTGGCCTTGGCCTTGGTCACGGGAAGCAGGGCAGGCATGGCTGGGGGGATGCTCTGATAGTTGAGGCTTCCCTTTTCGTTCTGTTTCTTGTCTGACAAAATGCCATGAGTAACGGGGAGTAGAAGTTGCTCCATGGAATAGTTTCTGTGTGTGTAAGAAGAGAAGTGCTATAAATGGTTCTGTTTATACCTCCAAGATTACGTAGGCGAAGCAGCAGTTACAGGTGGGAAAGGAATGTGGTTTCTCTCTTCTTAAAGAAATGGTGGTGCGCTCCAGGAATGTGATAGCCCACATTTTCTGTTGCTGTTTGCAATAATAGGAAAGACAAAGGAGTTGTCAGGGTTAATTTCAGAGGCTTTTTCAAAGTAAGTGTGCCTTGTACTCTATCAGGAAAATAATATATCAGGATTCAGTAAAAAAATCTTTGCTCAGGTCCTCCACCTTTTTTCTTCCTCCCCTTTCAGAGAGGCCTTCCTTTCAATCAGCAGTGTGGCTGTGTGTGTTGGATGGATGTCAGCCTGTTGCTGTTCATTCCCTGGGCTGATCATCCTCCAAACACCGGGACAGTTGCAGAGTAGCTTAATTATACTTGACACGGTAGAGTCACACATTTGGTGCTTTCCACACACTGCCTCTGACTTGCACGTATGCCCACAGCTAGCAAATGTCAATAACCACCACAGCTGGGAAAGTGCTGACAGAAACAAAACGTATAAAGGCAGCCCTGGGGTATAAAATGCTTTCACCTCATGAAATCATCTGTTGTGCCATTCTTACAGTTCACTCAGAAGCTTGTTAGGCAGTGATGAATACAGGAGTATTTGCAAAGAGTTACTTTTATCTAGTGCCCTGTGACTCTTCTGCCATGGGGGATATTTTAAACCAATAGTGTGCCTTCAGTTAAGAAATCATGTAGGTTCTTTACTTACTTAGCTGCCAGGAAGTGGGGTGTATGTGATGATTTGCTTTGTTTTGGTTTTTTTTTTTTTAAACAAAAAAGCTTCATTTTAAAAAGAGCTTTTGTAACTCTTGATCAATATTTTTTTTTCATGCTTTGCAGTGTTATTTTCCAGGGGTTTATAGTTGTTTATTTCATCTAGATGCTAAGCAAAATTCTGTTTATCCTCAATTCACAACACACCGTTTTATCCTTTATGTACCAGAGGGTGAGTTGTACAAATTGATCAATTTAGAGCTCACCAACTAAGATTTCTGCTGTAATGATTTCTTAAATATTTGACTTTTCCAGGTAGCTATAAGGCTTGCCCTCCCTCCACACTGGAATCTTTTACAGAAACCTATTACTGCTTCCCAGGTGTGCCCTTTCTGAGACCCCAGCAGCACAGGGGCTCTGCCCCATCATTAAGGTCGCGGTTGTGCTTCCTTCTACCAGCTGCTGTGGCAATGCTGAGCTTCCTCTTGCAGGAAAGGAGAAGGTGGGACCAATTACACCTATGCCTATTAACTGGGAAAAGGCAGGCATCTCTTCAAAGTAGAGGGGGAGGTTGTGTGTTGGTCACTGTTCTCTTCCAGCTGTGCATTAACTCCATCTTCCCGTAGCACATTTTACATCAAGGTTGTGTCAGCAGAGTCCTTCCAGAATAATCTGGCCCTTGATGTCAAACTCAGAGTTGGAATCCAATGGAAGCAATTTTTGGTGAAACTGTTCCCTTGTGACCTCTCTCATAAGGCTGTCTGTGAACTGTATATGCTAATGGGAAAATAAAGTGAGACCTTGTGTGTTCTTAGACTGCTGGGTGTAATCCTGCTCAGCACAGCAATGCATTTGTCAGGTTAGTGACGAGCTCCTTACAGCCATCTGCCTGGCAGGTCCCCCCGCCTCCCCACCTGTGTGCCTCTCTAATGCCTGCAGATACAAAGATGTGAGTGTACCTTGCTCAGTAGCAGATGTCTTTACAGAACAGATGCCATTACTCATTGCTTTTCTGTATAAATGTAGAAAGCGTCCTTTGGTGGAAAACAGGTGGTAATTTTAATTTAAAACCAACTGTATCTTAGAGCAATAAAACTAATGAGATGATAAAGCCTTGCCAGATTTTCTGTTTCAGTAAGCATCTAATCTTGAAACTGTTTTAAGCAAGCTTCCTTATCAGACATTCTCATCTCTGCGTTGCCAGCACACACCTGAAATCACTGCTTTGCCTCAGATTAAAAGGTGATGCTGTTTTGATTTGCACTGTTAAATAATTTCTATTTGATGATTAATTTTTTGTTTGGGCCTTTCTAAATGCAGTGTTCATCATTAAAGTGGCCATGCATGAACAGTAACGTACTTGCATTTTCTCTCATCAGAATAACGAAATGGTGGAACTACAGAGGATACGAATGAAAGATGAAATTCGAGAGTACAAGTTTCGAGAGGCAAGACTCCTACAGGACTACACTGAACTTGAAGAAGAAAATATCACTTTACAGAAACTGGTGTCCACACTGAAACAGAATCAAGTAAGCATCAAAGGATTCTAGGTGCTATGCTGAAAAATGATGCCATTTTCTCAAATGACAATAATGTGATCCCACAGAGCACTTTGATAGAATTTTCTTTGTATGGGTTTATTTTCAGTTGGGTTTTTGCTAAACATTTACTCTGAAACAGTGTTATTAGCCATTTTTGATGTATGGGGAGACCCTTGCCTCAATTTTGGTAAAATCCTGGTGGAATATTTTGTTACAGAACTTTGTAATACCAGAGTAACTATTAAAATAGATAGAGTTGCATCTTTTTACTTCCTGCTTTTCTCCTCCTCCCTCCCTGCAGGCTGAACCCAATGCCCAGCAGCAGAGTTCAGCCCTCCATTTCCTCTCAGTTTGTTTCCTGCACTTCCTTTCCTCTTCTGAAGTGGAGACAAGAGGAAATAATCTCCCGGTTCTCCTTTTTTTCTCTCCTGCTCCTCAGTTTTTCCTGTACTGAAGTTGCTCTTTTCTCAGCCATGCAAATCCACAAGTTCAGGAAGCTTCAAAAATAAGTGAAGGGATGTCAGATGTTCCTAGTTTGTATGTTGTATTCCCTGTTACATCAAGTTGCAGCTGATGGCAGACCAACACATGGTAATTCTCACAGCAGTGCAGAATGCAGCCTGAGGAACCACCATAAATGACATCCCCATTGTATCCAGATTAAAGCAGTCACGGGGTCTGGTCTCTCCCCTTTATAAAAGCACAGCTTCCTCTGCTGCTGAGGAAGCAATCAAGAACATGGCTGTCCTTTAAATTAGACAAAAGGGATTTGTTCTCACGTCAGAAGAGTTAACTTGCCGTGATCAATATTTAAGTATCCAAGTTGGATGATGTAACACTTTCTGCTTTCTAGACACTGTCCAGACCAGCATAACAGGGCACTCCGTAACACCATTTCCTTTACTGCTAGCAGATGGTAACAGCACTGCGTTGCAGCCCCTGGTTTATATCCCAACATACTGCCTGGTTCAGTGAGGGCTTTTATCAAATAGCCAAGACTGTCATGGTCTCTAATGGCAGCCTGGTAACAAAGCTGCCTTATTCCTGCAGGAATAGGCAGTACTATTCTAGCTGTCTTTTACCGCTATTTTACTGCTCTAGCACAAATGCAATTGAAACATTTAAAACAGTGGAGCTGTGCTGCAGGGAATATGCAGGCAGTGGAAAAGGTTACATTGTTTCCTTATTTATGAAGATAACCAGATTTTTACACTCCTGAAACTGAATTTGTAGCAGATCATCTATGTGGCACAGATATTTACCAAGCCAGCAAATTCGCCCCTTGAGGCACCAACATCTTAGGATGCATTTTCACACTATCAGGAACTTAAAGACCCCTTTATGCATGGTCTTAGTTTCCCCCAGAAGAAAATCTGTTCACAAGTGTTTATATTTGTCATAATATTTAATTGTTAATGAAACCAAATGCTAGCAGTCTGTAGAGAGAAAAAGCATTGCGACATTTTGAATAGCTTTAAAAATCAGTCCCTTTGTATCACATATCCATGAGCTTGTGATTCCTAAAATAGCTTTGATCTACAAGGTAAAATTTCAAGAGCATTTTATACTTTAATTTACAAAACCATATGTTACAAGTCTTAGTGCTATACCATCATTATCTCATTTTTTTTGTAGCTTTCGTAAGCAAGAATCCCAGAGATGGTAATCGTATAGATAATATAGACCTCTGGTTTCCACATGGATTTAAAATTTTAAAAGGTTTCTCTTTCCATGTTCTTAAATTATAAACATAGCTAGATGGTAGGATTTAATAATTTTTCAGATGGATCTCTCTCTCCAGTCAAAAAAGTTATCAAATTCATAAATACAGATTTCAAAACATCATGGATTTGCTTTTTTCTGTTTAATGTTTCCCAATATGACTTTGGAACTTTCTTCTCTGAGTTTGAAGATTAGTGCTTTGGTTTTTAAGTTTGCCTTTCCAAAGGCTTATGAGTACAAGACTTTTGTCAGGTTGATAAATATTCTATTCCAATAGGAATGGTTGACATTTCTGTTTTCACCAGGACCTTATTGTGGTTTGTTTAAATATATGTATGTTAAATAAAAGGTATTCTAGACAATGCCATAAAATTGTAGGTAATAATGCATATTAATGTATTTGAATGAGAAAAGCCTCAACTGGAAAAAGCCTTTTTTTGTGGAAGCATAAAAATTCAGTATTTCTTTTCCTCTTTCACCAAGCTATTAGAGTATTTCACTCAATACTAGGATTTTTTTGGATTCAGAAATGAAACAGTGGATGAGTAAAATGATTAGAATTATATTAAAAATCAAAGCATGATCATTTTTACCAGGAGAGCTGGTCAAACATGGACATGGACCTTTACAAACAAATTTCTTCATTTCTGTGTGATTTTCCAACAGTGAAAAGAAAGATGAGGAAAGGCAGCAAGGGAAAGCATTCTGCAGTAGGGATCTGCTGTACGAGCTAGATATTGCTGAGCAACTGGTTTTGAGCTAGATTGGGTTTTCCTGGGCTTTGCTTCTTGTTAGGTGCAATAGAAAGGACTGAATAAACATGTGAGCTGCCTTTAAAGAAGAGACAAGAAGCTGTTGCTTTCCTCAGCCCACACTGCCCCTAAATACCTTGATAAAATACTACACCTCAGTGTGGAGCAGGCAGCCTGCCCTCTGAGAACGAGAAAGACCAGTGAGTCCCTCCAAGCCTGGTGAGGCTGCACCAGGTCATTGGGGGAAGCACTTCAGGCAGTGCTGTCGGAGCAAAAGGTTGCCAAGTGCTCCAAAATGGTGTCATTGTGTGGCTGGATAAGCTGTTTACTACATTGGCCTGGTAGTTTAAAAATCTCTAATGATTTGGGGCATCTTAGAGTTTAAATTGATTGTATGAATAGTTTGCTGTTTTAATTTTTAAAAGCAAATGCTTCTTGAATAATGGAGAGGCTTGTATGAGAGAGTTGAGGCTCTTCTGCAGTTTTGTACTTGAACACTACTAGGACACCAGATACTTTAGAATATCTGTGCCTGAGTGGCTTTACGTCTGGTAAGAATTTAGATAAGAAGTCATCTTCAGAATACTTGCAATTAATAAATCAGACTATATTAACCTGAGATCTACACATACCATGATATACCAACATTACTCATGGCAATTCATAATAAATCTGTGGTTACCAAGATATCTGCTACTAAACAGCCTTTTTTTCCATGAAATACATTGTTTATTGTCAGAAGTTACTCAGAAAAAGGTGTTCTAGATCTTGACTCTCACACACTGAAAAAGTGAGCAGTGGAGTATTTAACAGAGTGAGGTCCACTTGCATTTTCTATGCAGCCTGTTCTTTGCAGCTGCAGGCAATGTCTGGTATTTCAAACTGTATTTTCTGTAACACCTTTTTCAATAAGGCTGATAAATGGCAGGTTTTCATGACTCAAGTTTTAGTATTATGAATGTTCTTTGTCTTGTCTAATTCAGGTTGAATATGAAGGCTTAAAGCATGAGATTAAAAGATTTGAGGAGGAGACAGTGTTGCTTAATAGTCAGCTAGAAGATGCCATCCGGCTGAAAGAGATTGCTGAGCACCAGCTGGAGGAAGCTCTGGAAACTTTAAAAAACGAAAGAGAGCAAAAGAACAATCTGAGGAAGGAACTCTCCCAGTATATCAACGTCAATGATAGTATGTATAACAACCATATTAATATATCAGTAGATGGATTGAAGTTTACGGAGGATGGGGGTGAGCCCAACAATGATGACAAAATGAACGGACATATCCACGGGCCTCTTGTGAAACTCAATGGTGACTATCGAACTCCCACAGGAAGGAAAGGAGAATCTCTGCACCCCGTCTCTGACCTCTTCAGTGAGCTCAACATATCAGAAATACAGAAACTGAAGCAGCAGCTCATGCAGGTAAGAGCTGAATTTGATGTCCTGAAGTGTTTAGACACACATCCTATGGACCCTATTGCCAGCTTTTGCAATGACCTTGATTATCCACAGTGACATTCTTGGCCAAGTATGTTGTGTTCTCAGACTTCTGCTTTGGTGTTCATATCAAGGTTTTGCTAGAAATGCCCCTAAGAACCAGAATATTTGTCTGGGAAAAGTCAGTGTGATCTGAGCAGAAATTTAGCAGAAGAGGAGAAAGGGACCTAGTTGTGGTGGTTGTGGATGGCTTGATTCTTTTTTTCCTGGTTTGATGGTGGGAAATGTCCCTGAGATTACAAGTCGAATAAAGTACTCTTCAGTATGACCAAAGCTATCTGGAAAAAACCCCACTAAAATACAGACAGACTTGATTATGCTTCCTTGCAAGTCAGAGGGATTTTTTGCCATTAAATTCAGTTTGAACAAGATTTGGCATACTGTCAAAAGAGAACAAAAGGCGAGGAGCGCTCCTCTTAATAACTGTGCAGTCAGAGAGCATGTGGCATGTGAGATGTCACAGAGTGCCCTTGTCCACACTGGCAGTCCCGGCGGATGCGCAGGCTGCAGGGGGTGCCTTGGGGACCATACAGCCAGCATTTGTTCTCTATTCATCCACACTCAGCCCGGGCATAGCCAGAATAGGAGCCTGGGATGCAAGCCAGATAAAAGCTCAAGCTGCCAGCCCCGACGCTGACATCATCTTAGAAGGGGTACAGTGCCACACAGAGCAAGGGTCCCGCTGCCCAGGATGTTGAGCATCTTCTCTGCCACAAGAGCTTGAAAGGTTTTGGCACTGTCATGGAAACATCCATCATTTTCTAGCTGCAGGCTTCCAAAAACTGCCTCTTTTAAAGAGAGTAAATATAAAGCCTTTACTGCTTACAATGTAAAAGATGATTTGGAAGTAAAGCAGAGCAAACCAGTGCTTGCTAGAGAATAATAAATCCCTACGTGGTCTGTCCTATATTTGCTGAAGAGTTAATTGTTCTATTTAATTCATTGCCAAAATGCACCATGGGAAGTTTTGATCTGAGCTATGACGTGGCGAACATTGATGACATCCAGTGCTTTGCACAAATAACTTTGATGCAAGACATACATAATTTAAGTGGGAAAGCTTGAAATTTGGAATTCCATTTCTGTGAAAAGTTACGTCAGAAACTTTTCCAGTATTAAAATATAAACAGTGTGTTTTGCATCCATATACACATATATAAATATGCATGTTACATATGTATACATTTATGTATGTAATATATGTGCATATATATTATATGCACATATTTTGATTAATTCAGAAAGGCAATGTTAAAAAACACAGCCTCAGAAGAAATGCTTTGAAATGATCACATCTTAAAATACAGCGTAAGCATTTCCAACCATAATTTACAATGAAGTTCATGCAATATAAGTTTGGAGGGAAAGCTGTTTGGAAATGAAAAAACAACATTGTTTGGGTATGTTTTGTCTTCATTTTATTGAATTAAATATTGAGCTTGATAAATCAGCAAAAGACACTGCAAATGTTTTGATTGTCTCTGACTTAAATATTGCTTAAGTATTTTACGCTTCTTAAGCAAAGAGTTGGCCTTCTGACAGTCGCTTGCCACAAACTGTCCATTATAGGACCCTAGAAGAACCCTAGAAAATAAATATAACCATTTTCCAGTCACGATGGATTTACTGCGCCCCTTCATGCAAATAGCCACAACCATTGCTCAGCATTCTAATCTTGTTAGAAGGTTTGAAAAGAAAGACAAGACCCAGCTGGAAATATGATTTCTGTAGATAGTGAAAAGGTTTACTGTAAAATGCTGATGTGTACTTTTTTTAAAGTGATCAAACTCTCTGTTGAGTTGCATCAGCTGACCTTGGGTCATACAGATTAAATGTGAAAAATTCCTCCAAAAATTTTCCCCATAGTCGATGGGAGATTTAATGGAGTTCAAGCTGACAAAAGGTAATTCTTCAGAAAAATTGGATTTTTTTTTTCTTCCACAGTGTCTTTCCCATGTGGTATTCATTCAGCCATGTCTTGATATTTGGTATATGTTCCTCTTGTTTTCTCTGAAGAGTCTGTACTATGACAGATTGCTGGAGGAATTGACCCTCTCTTGGGAAGTATTTTTATGTCTATAGGACAGCAGGCTCCTTTCTTGAGAGAAGTAAACTTCAGATTTGTCCCTTTGTTCATGTATGGTAAATTTTTTCACTCCTCAATCTCAAAAAGAAGCTTTCACCAAAAAAAGTTTCACTCCTCAATCTCAAAAAGAAGCTTTCACCAAAAAAAGTATGACAGATACAATTCCTTCTGCAGATTTAGTGTGCTGCTGCTCCATGATTTGTGTTGGTCCCTGGAAAAGATTTAATTGCAAGTGTTCCCTTCCCATCTTTGAAATCCACTAAGTAACAAATGTCCAGCTGAAAATTCTCATATTCTGAGATTCTCTCAGTAAAGCTCAAGACTTTCTGCTCTGCCTTCATGTTTGTTGTCCAGTGGGAAGAACTCTCCATCTCATCTTTAAAGCCTTAGGAGTTCTCTTTTCCTTCCATGGTGATGCTTTCCCTATTCCTGAGGCTAACGTCATATTTTGAAAAATTTGGATTAAATTTTCCTAAAAAAACCCAAGAAAAAAAAAAATAGGCCCAGATCCTGACACTCTTTTGCAGTTGCCTGGTACCCTCTGACAAATATGATACAGCTGAGATTCAGGGTTCTTGAACTGAGTTTTCCTGTTGCTTTGTTCCAGTCTCCACTAGGAATTGTTCAATGACATGCTGATGTTTTTAGGAAAAAAAAAAAAAGTATAAATAGCAATGGTAAAATTGGTTTCCATAATTGCAAACTATAGAGCAAATTGGGAAGGAAATCTCCTCAGACTCGAATCCTTGATGGGAAAGTTGCATTGCAAAATAGGTACAGCTACTTTTGAATTGCTTTTATTTTCATTTTAAGTTGATAACGATCCTTACTTCAGCTACTAATGTCAATGTCAAAAAAAAAAAAAAAGGACTGAAAAATAACTTCAATTCCCAGAAGTTTTCTGTGGGTGGAAGCAAGAGTATACTGTTGTCTAGAACAAGAAATATAATTACCATACTTGGAAACAGCAGAGTCTATTAATATGCAGAAGGTGTGCTCAGGGCTGAGTTGGAGCTTTGGGTTTTTTTCCCTTAGAAGTAGGAGCATGTATTTATAACTTTAAACAGAAGTGGGTTAGCTTAATTCATAATTACTGGACCAGCATGAGTAAAATTTAATCTACATCTATCATTTTACCTACTGCCCAAGTTGCTATATGGGTTTTAAAAGTCATGTGTTTTCTCTGGAAACAATTCTTTTAATTTGTAAGAAGTATTTGTTTCCAGAACCCATTTATGTTCAGCAGAGAAATGATCATACAGATGCCAATTAGCTCTGTTATAGTTTTCCTTCATGACAGAGTATGACCGCTGTGATTGATAATCTGGCAGGATCAATTCTGTCTCATTAATGTAAGCAAACACTGAAACACTGTGCTGCTTTAACACCAAGTTGTTTTCTTGAAGGAAAGGCTTTCTGGCTGTAAGCTCTATATTTATTTCTACACTCGTCTGTCATGGTTTTGACTGGGACAGAGTTAACCTTCTTCATAGTAGCTAGTAAGATCTTGTGTTTTGGATTTCTGTTGAGAAGAAGGCTGATAACATACTGATGTTTATAGTTGCTGCCAGAACAGTCAAGGTCTTTTCAGCTTCTCTGCTGTGCCAGTGTCTGCGGGGGCAGGAGAAGCTGGGAGGGAGCACAGCCCCAGTTACTAGCCTAGGATTCGACCTTAGGTTTAGGATTGAGACCCAAATTGGCCAATACTCTATTCCATGTCATACACGTCATGGCCAGTATATAGGTGAGGATCTGTCCAGAAGTTCTCCCTCTCTGTGTCTCTCTTTTTCTCGGGATCATCTCTCTCAGTCAGCTCTCAGATGCTCAGGCTCTTGTCTCTTTCCTGGGATTGTGGTTTTGAGACTCTTCCTGCTCTGGGATTATTAGCTGGGAACAAGCTAATTCTTGGTCATCAGGCTGTGAGCGGTTTCACTGTATATGACTTATTTGTATATGTGTATACTTGTATATATTACTATTATTGTCATTATTATTTTCAATTTTATTGTAGTTTAGTTATTAAAGTGTTCTTATCTCAACCCAGAAGTCTCTTTTTGCTTTACCCCTTTAATTATTTTCCCCATCTCCAGGAGGGGGAGCGAGCAGCTGCATGGTTTTTAGCTGCTAGGCAGGTTTAAACCACAACATAGTGCAATCTGCCGTTAATTACCTGCTGTGGTGGCAACATACTCACAGTGGACCCATACACCTTAAAAAGCCCACTGCCTTTGGTGTGTGATGTATGGATCATTATTATCCATATGACTTCTCATCATCAGGTTAGATGGCCCTTTAAATTAACCAAAACTCTGATTTTTTTTTTTTATTTTTTTTTTTTTTCCATGCACATGTGTAGCTCACCTTACCAGCTTGAAGGAATAAATATCTTCGTTATCTGATGAGGGTAACACAATTAACAGCCAAGCCTGCTCTACCAGGTGGTAACAACTAGAGTTCAGCTGAAAGTTTCCAGGGAGAGCAGATTGGGGGCAGACTGCTCCATGGAGGAAATAAGAAAGCTGGCTTTCCTCTGAAAACAGAAGAAAGAAGCTTCTGCCAAGATAGGTCTGACTGAGAAATCTGTGGAGAGCAGTCACCTTTTAAGAAGATGCCTGTGGCAGAGGGGAAGGTTGCTTTATTTTGGATTTTCTCAGCAAGAGTGGGCTGACATCAGGGGTGGGCAGCAACAGGGGCAGCAGGCAGACTGAGGCAGCAATGAGGGAACAATGCCAAATGGAGAAAGGTACCAATCTACTTGTGGTACTCGGCTGTCCTCTTCTGCACAGAGTATGTAGTGCCTGAAATAGAGCGCCCTATATCTGAGGAGACAGACTCTTCCTGGATCATAAAATAATGATGAAGTTTGGCCCTAGTTTTTTAATTCTTAAGCCATCAGTCATCTGTATGTAAGAAAACTAGGCTGATTTTTTTTTCAGATGTTTTTAATGTGGGTTCTATTTTTATTCTTACAGTTTTTGCCTGCTATTGATTGCAGATTCTAATAGAGGCTGTTTTTTGAAAGCCTTTCTGTAAAATCAGGGGATCATCATATGCTTTAGTGCCTTAATACTTCTGAGCAGCAGCCACTGTTCAAAAGCCTCATTCTGAGAAAACAGGAGCCTGAAGCACTGCTTGGAATATTTTGTGAGATGGTATTAATACCCCCTCAGTCTCTAAAAGGCTTTTATTTTCCCACAGTAAGATTTATGGTGGCCGATTTGACTCTCTTCCAAACACTACCTGGGGGGATGCTGATAGGGAAGGAAAGGCTTTTTAATGGGTTTTTCATAACTGACAGGTTTTAATTCCCTGAATTAGTAATTCAGCCACTCATAAAGTGAACGTGAAGCATGCTGCTTCCACTGCATGGGTAAACACAGCTCTGAAATACTGCAACAGTGGGAGAGAAAGAGCAGAAAACCTGATAGGCTCAAGGTTCTGTTGGAAAAGCCATGAAAGCAAGGATCCCGTCTCCCTGTGCCTTCCTCTGCTTCACAGCTCGCAACTCGAACAGGACAAAGGCACAGAAAAAAAGTTGGAGCATTACACTTAAAATGGGAGTCTTTTAGGGGTGTTAGCATGAGTAGCAAATACCTGAGCAGATCAAACTTTACATTTTTCTTGTTCTTGCTTTAAGATGCTGTGTATTAAAACTTCTAGGGGAGTCCTCCATGACCTCTTCTGCTGTTCAGCATCCACGTTTCTTTGTGGATATTCAGAAAGGAACGTAATAGGTCAGAACCAGTAGTTTGTTAGTTAAACCACAAATTCCACTTTTTCTGCCTTATCCTGAAAAGGATGGATTTTGCTTACAGTTCAGTGCTGGGGATGGAGAATCCTGAATGTTGCATGTGCTCAGTCTCCTGATCTGTGTTACATTCACACACAATGGGTTATTTAATCTAATCTGTAGAAACGTACACAGCCATTTGTTTACTGTATTTGCATTCAGTAGTGAAGCCTTAATGAAAGTTTGGAATAGCCCAAAGTTAAATATTGTGAAGGATTGAGAGAGCTGTTTGTAGGAAATGTAAATTCAGCCTCCACTGAGAAATGTGTATGTACCCTTAGAAAAGCTTATAGTTGACTGATAGTTGACAATGAATGCAGTTCATGCCTATTAAAATTCGGGGAACTTATGTTCTAATAAATCCTGTCTCATCTCACTAGCTGACTAGGTGTTTAGTGCTTGGGCACTAAATAATTCTTCAGGGGGCAACGTGTAAAATCATGACCTAGCGATATTGCAAATTGTGACAGAGGCTGGGGCTCCATAACCTTGTACAAGCTATATGTGTCTCTCACCGACTTAATTTTACGGTTTAGGGATGTACGGATAAAATCTCTTTGAAGCCTTCGAGTTGCATGTGCAGAGTGGGGGAGTGGAAGAGATGAATATGATTGCAGTTTGGTATTCAGCATGGGTAAGATGAAATTCTGGGTTTCTCACTTTGACTCTGTTGCAGGTGGAAAGAGAGAAGGCCATTCTCCTGGCCAACCTGCAGGAGTCCCAGACGCAGCTGGAGCACACCAAGGGAGCCCTGACTGAGCAACACGAGCGAGTCCACAGGCTCACGGAGCACGTCAATGCCATGAGGGGGCTGCAGAGCAACAAGGAGCTGAAAGCTGAGCTTGACTGTGAGAAGGGCCGAGACCCCAGCCAGGAAGCACACGACTATGAAGTGGACATCAATGGTTTGGAGATCTTAGAATGTAAATACAAAGTAGCTGTTACTGAGGTGATAGACCTTAAAGCAGAAATCAAAGCCTTAAAGGAGAAATATAATAAATACGTGGAAAACTACACTGAAGAGAAGGCCAAGTATGAGAGCAGAATCCAGACATACGACGAGCAGGTGACAAACCTGGAGAAGTCGACCAAGGAAAGCCAAGAAAAAATGGTACACATGGAAAAGGAGTTGCAAAGGATGACAAGCATAGCAAATGAAAACCATAATACCCTCAACACCGCCCAGGACGAGCTGGTGACGTTTAGTGAGGAGCTGGCTCAACTCTACCATCACGTCTGCCTGTGCAACAATGAGACACCAAACAGGGTCATGTTGGACTATTACAGGCAAAGCAGAGTCACCCGCAGCGGGAGCCTGAAAGGACCAGATGACCCTCGAGGTCTCCTTTCCCCACGGCTCGCCAGAAGAGGGGTGGCTTCACCTGTAGAAGCCAGGACCCCAACCGAGCAGGTGACAAAAGAGACCCCAGAGCCTGGCAAGGAACAGAGCCCAACAAAAACGCCTACCATTTCTCCTGTCATTACAGCCCCTCCTTCCTCCCCTGTCTCTGATACCAGTGACATCCGCAAAGAGCCGATGAACATCTACAACCTCAATGCCATCATAAGGGACCAAATCAAGCACTTGCAGAAGGCTGTCGATCGGTCGCTGCAGCTGTCGCGCCAGCGTGCTGCAGCTCGGGAGCTGGCGCCCATGATCGATAAAGACAAGGAGGCCTTAATGGAAGAGATACTGAAACTGAAATCACTCCTGAGTACAAAGCGGGAGCAGATTGCAACCCTGAGAGCAGTGCTGAAAGCCAACAAGCAGGTAAGATGCTAATAAAGCAGTCAGTCGGGAATGTCTGTTATTTATACAGGTCACTTACAAGCTTTCCCAGGAGCATTTTGCAGGAGAGATTTTACTCACAGGTTATTTAGTCTCTCACTCAATAATAGCAAGGACAGACCTTTCTTCCCTCCCTCCCCACCTCCTCTCTAAGCTCTTTAGCTCTGCTTTTTTCAGCTCCCACCATTCATGGAGGGTGCAGGCAGAAGAGCCTTTTCTGTGGAGTGAGAGAAAAGCAGAGGGGCAGGAAGGGTTCAGCTACCACCTAATGTACAGTTCCTGTTATTATTGTGAAATGAAAAGATTTCCAACATTGGAAAACAAAACAGAGCATGCATGAAGAGGCTTTCAGGGGCGTACAGACCCCTCGTCAGGGCAGGTACTTCTGGAGCGGTGGGGTAGGCAAATGGCGGGGAGACCACTTTGGCCAGCACCTCAGCAGCTGCAGGTGGCCCTGCTGGTGGGATGTAGGGGAGCAGATGTGCAAACAACTCATTGCATTCTTCTTGACTCTCGGTCCCCCCCCAACAAATTTAAGGGGATTAAAAATAAATGCCACAAAAACTAAAGTGTGCCTCAGGAAGAGAATGGCAGGCATAAGAGCATGACCAGTGGCTTTGGAGTGGACAGAAGCTGGGCATTTCTTTTATAAGAAAGCAGGTGAAATGTGGCGTTATTTTCATCACAGATAGTTGGAATTTTTTAAAATTATTTTTCTTTTCCTTCAGAAGTGATGTCTCCTGCCATTGTAATATTTTTATTCCTTTAAGAAATAAAAGCAGGGTTTTCTTTATTTTAAGAAAAGCGACAAAATCACTACATGACAAAGCTGACTGAAACAGTAACTGCAATTTTTTATTTTGAGGTTTTGTTATAAATTTATCTTTTAAGATAATACAAAATTTCAAATTATTATTTTCACAGCTTAAAAAAAATCATCAAGCCACTTTATTTTTGATGTTGCACCAATGCAAATACGCTGAGAATTACCACATTTTATATCAAATGCCAAACAAAGACCATGTAACAGTCTGTTTTTAGAGGACTGTAATTTTTTTTTGCACAGTATATCTTCCCAAGCCCTTTGTATCCATTAGACTCCAGGTCTGCAGGCATTTTAGGAAATTAAATTTCAGCATGCAAATAGTTTTATTTACTTCAGTGCATCTCCTTATGCCCAGAATTAAGTCTGAATGCAAGAAGGTACAGCAGCAGTCATTGTTCCAGAGTGCCTGGGGTATTTCTCATCCGGAAACAGTGCAGTAATCACCACATGGGGGCCTGAATCCTGGTTAACAGTTTAGGATACTACTAGCTGATGACAGTGATGGGTTTTCAGTGTTCAAATTCCCAATAGTCAAGTAGTCTGAATTTACAGTTTCAAGTTCAATGGATTGTTGCATCTGTAACTGCATTTCTAGAGTACTGGGGATTTTTAAATTGCAGCAATGTTTCAACATACATTGAGTCTTTTATAGCATTTCCCCTCTCTCCAATACTACACATGCTAAATATTAATTCAAGTAATTAAATACCATTTCTAGATAAGCAATAATAACTCTGAGCAATTATATGTGGATTTTCCATGTAATCAAAATGTAATTAAGATGTAATTGAGGTAAATGGGTTTAGATTCCAAATTAAAGATTTTTTCCATTAGCCTAGAGCTATCATTTATTTTTTGGTACTGCCACAGAATCTATCTCAGTGTTGCTCTTTTATTGCTGTCAGAAATAAAGCATCTTTCCTAAAGTGTGCTCACTGAAATGGGAAAGACAGATTGCTGAGTTAGGAGGTGGTATTAATTAAACGTTTATTTGTTGGATAGCAGCATAGCTATTGGTAACTGTACAACTGGGTATAGAATCTTGCAATACTGTTCATGTAAACCTAATATAAAAATCCTCAAATGTTCATGTTAAAAGACATAACAATATAAAATAATTGAGAGACATTTAAAGTTACAGGGATGCGGGGTGAGGGGGGGGAGAGGGGGGGGGAAGTTTTATTATGCACTCCAGTACTGCCAGCCTCAAGTGATGGCTGCATCCCAGGACCCAAAGCACATCTCATGTTCAGAAAACATGAGTCCAGATTCATCCCCTTGACTTCTTCCCCTTCCTCCAAAATAATAAGATTTAAGTGGTAGTAGGCTAGGGATATTTTTCCTTTGTGTGTTTCAATGTAGATGAGCCTACAAAGGACATCCGGTTCAGTTTTTCACCTTTGCTCCAGAACCACAAGAGATGAAAAGGACCCAAAGCACATCTCATGTTCAGAAAACATGAGTCCAGATTCATCCCCTTGACTTCTTCCCCTTCCTCCAAAATAATAAGATTTAAGTGGTAGTAGGCTAGGGATATTTTTCCTTTGTGTGTTTCAATGTAGATGAGCCTACAAAGGACATCCGGTTCAGTTTTTCACCTTTGCTCCAGAACCACAAGAGATGAAATTTTGATTTTTAAATTTTTTTTTAAAACCTTCCTCAAGCCCTAAACAAGCTGACGTTAATACAAACCTGTATCTTCTCACCCCTTACATCCTATGGAAGACACTGCTGGTGCCCGAGGCACAGGGGGCAGCTGCGGCAGCCCCTGCCCAAGGGACCCTGTGGCTGACAGGGCCGGAGGCCATGGCCTGTCCTCAGCCACCCATGGGGCTGTATGGCAGCTTGTTGTGCTTTGTAGAAATACCATCACCAAAACACCCCTGTTGTTGGCACTCCAAACACACTTTAGGTGAAGCTTTTTTGGTTGAAATAATATTGGAAAGCAAGATGAGTGCGGTGAAATGCACTGTAAAAATGGCAAGATGTGGCCTTGCTGGAAAATCTCGCCATTCGGATCCAGGGGGGAAGCCCAGCAGCAGGGCCCTGGGTCTAGTATTTTGGGCTGTAGTGAAATCACACCCTTCACCAGGAAAGCACGGGTGCTATCTAGTGACCACCAGAAGCATTGCAACATCAGGTTGAAACCAGAGCTGTGTTGCAGTTTTCCTGGCTGTGCTGAGAAGACTGTTCGGTGGTGCACAGGGGCACATGGTTCATGGGAAGAGAAAACGAGCAAATGGAGTTTCCACCTCCTAACTTGAATCATGTTCACCTCTCTTCACAGTGACTTACCCGACTGTGGGACAGCCCCGAAGGAGTCTCTGTTTCTGTCTCCTGCTGCTGCAGCGGGCCTGGCACTCCAGCAGTGCAGCGACACCGTTCAGATCTTTAACAGCATACAGTACATTTCTGTTTGAACCTGACAAGCTGTTGCCTGGTTCAAAGAGTTTGGCAATTATCTGATTATATTTCTTTTTATTCTAGCTGTATTTTCTTCAGTGGCAAACGGAATACACAAAACTCTGTAGCACAAAAAAGAGAGCAAGATTTGCTCTAAGAAGCTGCAAACCTAAGACCAGGAAAACAGATTATTAAATCAATTGCTCAAGATAGCAAGGCACATATATCATGCTAGCTTACTTGCTTACCTTGTCTTGATTTATGTATCCATTTATTCATAGCCATAATTACTGTGTCTGCACCAGTTTTGTGGAGCAAACCCAAGTAGCATTAGCATTAACAAGTAACATAAATTGTAAAGTAATATCAAATTAATGATATAATAACTTTTAGAACCAGTTCAATAATCGTTTTAATTTTGATTTCTAATAACATTCAGAACGCAAAGCTGCCTAGGAGGTAAATATAATATCCTGAAGTTCTGATTGAAAAATGATCAGTTGTTCTCATAGGTAAATAGTTCGATGGGAAGGAGTTGAGTCAGCAAGTCCTTCACATCTGCACATGCAGTAACTATGGTGTCTGCAGCTCCCATAACTGAGATACCCATAAAAGTCCTTCAGAAAAAATAACTTCACAACCCCAGGCATACAGTACCTTATCTATAAACAAATGCCCTGATGTTACATAGACAGAATACAGTAGAATGCAGCCTTCACCCCAGGTCTTTAAAATTAGATTATCCCACAGAACTGGCTTCAGGCACAACCACACAAATATGGCTCAATAGGTACAATTTTGGAGACTGGTGGAGCATTATCCCACAGAACTGGCTTCAGGCACAAACACACAAATATGGCTCAATAGATACAATTTTGGAGACTGGTTGAGAGGGGGGACAAATAGAAATAATTTAGACTTGAGCAGGTGCTGGAGGAAGACTAAGATGAAGCTATGGCTTCAGTTAATTTTGTCCCTGTTACTCTTAGCACAGTCTAACAGAACAGCTGAGGTGACCAGACACATAGGTACCTCTGAAAGATGGAGTCCAAGTTCCCTGTCTCCTCTCAGCCCCACTCCCCATTACACATCTGGTCTCAGGTTGCTTCAGGCAAGTTTTCTGCCTCTTGAGGCTCCCCAAACTTGCTCACAGTAAGCATAGAAGAAAACCACAAGGTGTGCAAAGGGTAGGGATGGGGAAAGGCTGGGTAATTATTCTTTTGGTGGCAGCTAGCCAATTTAGATTGATTTAGCTGTATTGTAAAAAGGCAGCCTCTGAACAGTCTGACAGCAATCAGCTTCAGTCAGCATCCAGGTCCCAAACTGATGAGCTGTAGGTAACCTGAGCATCTGCACCGTTCAGTGCCTGCTGGCTCTTAGGAGGACCTCTTGAGCCTCATGCTAAAGCGGTGCACTGCTGCTCTGCTGGCCCTGGCGGTAGGTTTCCCGGAGAAGCTTCCCCAACTTGCTTCTTCCTTCCTTTTGTTGCCTATTAAAAACACATTTTTGTCAGTTTTATTTTCTTCTCTAGTAGAGCCCTTGTGCCTATTCGTTCTTCACTTAGGAGACTTTCAGAAGGGAGACCCTCGACAGCCTGCAAAGGAGTGCGTTCAAAAGCTTGTATGTGGAGAGTCATCAGGCACTTTTGCAAATTATGCTTCATTTTCTATATGTTGTTTTATGAAAAACTCAGATAGGAAGAAAAAAGATTTGAAGATTTGGCACAGTCCTTCCTGTTACCTTTATTCACAAAGCAAATTTTATTTCTAAGTTATTTTTCATCCTGTAGTGTTACATATCCATTTAATTCACCCTAACATCCAGACTAAAACATAGGGACCACAATGATCTGTCTGATCATTGTGCACAGTGTGATGTGTAAATTATTGGGTTTACATGGAATATGTAATCCCACTGCTAAAACAATTTAACAATCTTTTGTTAAAAGTCTAGCATTAAGTGGCATGTATCTTTAATTCATTTTCATTCCTAAATAAAGGAAAATATTTACATGAGTTCTGTATTTGAAGATGAGGTATGATAGGTTAAGGAACATGGGGCTGTATTTCTCTTACAAAGCAAAGACATCTGAATTCCTGCCTTAGGGGCAAAGCAGAACCCTGTTTGAGCTATAGAGGCTACCTCTGCTCTCATAAATCACTTCTGCTTTGTTAGTGACCTGCAAATTTTTAGATTAATCTGATTTAATATAATATCTGTTAAACAGGAATTTGTCATCTGATGCACTACTTCCTAGATTTCCTTTAAAAAAAGTAGTTTTTTTAAGCATAGTTGATCCTTCTTCTCCATCTTAATTTATGAGTGTACATTTTTGCTCATGGCTGAAAACAGATAGAAAGTTGATGATTTCTGCTTTATCCTGCCAAGGCATAGGATGGTGTCTACCATCCTACAGTGTACCAAAGCGTATGTCAACAAGGTTGAGAAAAGCTGCATTTATTTGAATTATGCCTAAGTGGCTGGGTTTTTTAACATATATTGCTGATGATTTCAAATTTGGCATGGAAAACCCATCTATTTAAAATGACAGGTAGTTCCTACTCATTTTTAAAAATCTCTTCTCTCAACATAAACTACGGTGAAAGCAGAGAAAACAGTATTGGTGAGAGTACAATTCAGAAAAAAAAATTAATTATTTTAATGCTGCCATTTCTAATTATGCTGTTTCCACAGAAGCGAATGAATAGAGTTGCATTTTATTAGGAGATGCTAATATGTTCGTTTGTTAAGAGACATTGTTAGTGGGAAATGTGCTGGGTTTCAGAAAACTGAGTTTAAAATAGGTTTCCAACTGTTTGGCCATTACCATCTTTTGTAATGTCCCCTTACTGGTTGCTTTAAATTAATGTTCCTCTACACTTCTCTCCCCTGGTGATGGCTCAAGAACCCACAAGATCAACAGGGGAAATTGATTGCCTATATGAAATGCTGCAACATATTATGCACTAAAAAAAGTGAAAAAACAATCATAACCTCTGCTGAGTAAATGTAAAAGAAAATTACATTTTTTTCATCATCTCATTCCATGGCAATAATTTTAAATGTTGTATAGGAGCAGTAGAATAAAGCCTCTATAAAATCATGTATTTTGAATAACTTTTAAATGGTACTAAACTTCATGTGTAAAGCAGAAGGTTCAACTCCTGCACAAATAAGACAAATTTAACTATTAAAAGCAGTAGGGCAGTAAATTAAAGAAATGTAATGAATAACATTGAAAAAAGAAAGGAGGGAGCAGAAAAAAATGAAGGAATAGGATGACTACAAGGCCTTGCTTTCCTGTTAGGTGAAAATTTTGATTTACTCTTTTTTTGTTCTTTTTTTTTTTGTAGTGGTTAAAACTCCCAAATTAATGCTGTTTTGCACAACAGTAGTCATTGCCAGTGCGCAGACATAAAAGCAAGCTGTCAGGTCCTGGCAGTCACCTCACCCAAGGAAAGCTTCAGCTGGTCGGAAGCATGAGGTGAAACACGTTAGTTCCCAACTTGGCTATGAGTCTCATGTGCTGCACATCCTGTTTGCAGCATGGTCATGGGACACACCTTGTTGCTTATTGCAGCTCAGATGACTCGGTAGCAGCTCCTTAAGCTGTAGTAACTTACTTGCCTGAGTACTCAACATAGAGCTGCAGAGTTTAGCAGAGACATTTAAGCTGTGGGGTTGTTGCCAGTGTATTGAAATTGGCTTTGTCTTTTCAACTGCTTTTTCCTTTTCCTCATTTCATGGAGTGCAACTTAAAACAAGACATTAAAGGGTGCAGTGCAATGAAGCTGAGGTCTAACTTCTTTAACTGCGTGAATGAAGAAGGAAATCAAACACATCTTAGCTGTTGTCAGATATCTGCCTCATAAGCATATATCCCTATTTATGTTTTCAGACAGCTGAAGTGGCACTAGCTAATTTGAAGAATAAATATGAAAATGAAAAAGCAATGGTGACTGAAACCATGACCAAACTAAGGAATGAATTAAAGGCTTTGAAGGAAGATGCAGCAACCTTCTCATCCTTGAGAGCAATGTTTGCCACCAGGTAAGGGAAATGGTTTCACCATCTGGCTCAGCACTGTAAAAGTAAATATGTACGTGCTAAGTGAGAACAGACTTAGTATGTTGGGTGCTTGGGAGGAGAGACAGAAATTATTTTCTGCAAGGTCAGGGGTTTGCTGGATAAAGGTGAATGAGTCTTGGACTGCACACTGTACAAAACCTGCAAGCTTTCAAGTGCTACCAAGATGCATGTCTTGGAAAATAAAGCTGGAGAATAACAATGTCAACACAACCTTGGGTAAAGTGTTATAAATGCTAATACCAGCCTCCAGTATATTTACATTTATAGGACTTTTTAAGCTGGAAATCAAGTAGTAGATCTATGTGACCGATTTTCACATTCAGAAGCAGGCAGTGATTCTGTCATGTAAAGCTATCGTATAGTTAATGATGATCTTCAGAATTCCGTGTTTTCATTATCGTAAGATTTATTACTTACCAGTAGTAAAATCTATTTCATCAACCAGCCTATGCTGTGATCCAGCACTAATAATTGTGATGCCACTGCAATTTCCCACTCCAGCATAAATTCTTATTTTATCCTGCTGTGATATTCAATTTATTATCCTCTCCTTCACAGGATAAAAGTTTCACTTATCTTCTGTAACATAGTTCCTCCTGGAAGGCCAGTAATTAATCATCTCTCATCTTTCCTTCTCCCACAGCTTCTTCAGAAGAGCTTTCAGTTTTAGCTGCTTTTAAAAAGGTTACCTAAAAATAATTATTTTTTAAAGATCCAATGCTTTCATCAATAAATTCTTACCTCCCAAATAAGCAAGGCAATTAGTATCCTCAGGAAATTATTCTGTTTTATCAAGGCTGTTTTTTCTCCCTTATGGTCAAACATAATGCAGATTTCTTCCTTGTGCTTTAGTCCATAAGTGATAAGACTTCATCATGCCTCACGCCAAAATCTCTACAGTGCTCCCTGCAGTATATAGGTGCCATCTCACCTCTTCCAGCCTTCTAAGGTCATTTGTTACACAGTGTCAGTGGCAGAAGCAGCTCGGAGAGGTGGGAAGGAAGAAGGGACATTAACATGCCGTGACATTGGTGCTGTGTACAAATTCATCATAGGTTCATCCAAAGAAGAGTACGTGTAGTGCCATAATGGAAATGAAGAACCAACTCAGCAGGTGGTGTGAACAAAGGTAGCTCCATTGATTTCATTGGCATCTAAAGATTTCTTCAAGAAAGCAAAGTTGTGTGTGTGTTTTAGAAATGCGTGAGTCAATCTGTATTTGCAAGCTCATTACTCTAGGAGATACATGAATGTACTAATTCTATAAGGCTACCTGGAAGGGTGTTAGCTCCAGAGTGGAGGGGTGGCATAAAGCAAAGAAGGGTCTTGCATGGAGCATAAATAATCAACATATGAGGTAGCAAGTTTGCAAATATTTAGAAGCTGTTACTTAAAGGGAATGTTAGGTTATTGGTGTACTGAATGCTCTTTACCCTATTTGGGCATCCTGAGTGTACACTTCTGCTGGGTTTAAGGCATATCCTAAAGCTGGTAGGAGAGAGCAGCATCTTTTCTGTGGGAATTAGGCTTAAAGGATGCCATTCATATAGAGGCCTTTTCTAGATGTCTTGTGTGTAGGATGAGATGAAGCTTCTGTTCCTCTTCTATGAACTATAAAGGGAATCTGGGCGACTGGCTGAGTTACAGATTTCTACTTTGTAAACATCTAATGTTACTAGAGATAAATCCCACCCAAAGCATCTGCTGCTGCTGGTAAACTCCATGGAGTACTGATTAAACACTCACTGCACAGCCTGTGGAATGCATCTCTGCCCTTGAGGTCATAAAATTTGCCCAGTATTTTCTGAGCACAGTTATAAAAAGTCATTCACTGCAAGGCCTTGCACATCAGCGTGCTCCTATAGATTTTTCTGTTGAGAAATATTCCTTTTCCTTCCCTACCCTGGAATCTAATGGCCTTTATAATTAAATCAGTCTTCCTAAATGTTCAAATCATTGACTCATTCTGAATACTCCATTTGGAATAGCATTTGTTTAAATGACAGAGAGCTGATATACTAGCAGAAGAGAAATCTGATTGAAAATACAAGGCTGTGAGATTCTCCATGCAGTAACATTCAGTGCAATAGGAACCTTCAGCATATAAAAGCAATTGTTTCATTTTCTGTTGAATAAAACAGTGGTTTCCATGGTTATCCTGCGTCCCATGGTACCTACTCCTGAATTTGCACTGCAGAGAGAACATCCTTCTAAGGGCAGAGTTATATTACAGATCTGAAATTTTTTTCATATACTGTTTGGTGGAGCAATATCCTTTCTCTTTCATAAACCACTCTTTTCTGTTCATTTGGTCACCAGAGGGATGTTCATTCTGGTGCTGAAGTGTATGGTTTCTTCCTCAAATGCACCGAATAAAGGTCATGCCGTGTTATAAGGAGAGCACAGCTTACCTGTTTCTGGTCCGAACAGCAAAGATGACACTTTTCCCCAAAGGTCCCCTTATGCAGAAAACAGGAGCCCTCCTTTTTCTGTGATTTTCCCTGACACTTCTGCATCCTTCCTTTCCTTAAATTCTTCTCTTCTTGACCTCAAGAGTCCTTCTGTCCGCCTTGTACCTCTGCTTTTTCTCTTTTTCCTTCTGGGACAGTTTGTTTCCCAGTTCAAAATCTCTGTGGCTCTGATCTGTGCACCTTCCTCCTTCCCTCTTCATTAACCTTGATCCCTTTCTGAATTTACTTCAGACCTGTCAAGAATGTGTTGTCAACACAGTTCGAACTCCATTTTCCCCAAACACCTCTCTCAGAAAAAGAAAGCAACAGACTATAAACCCTTCTCTTCTGTGGGGTGCGTGGGGTTGGCAGAGCAGAGCTGAAGGTCCTGTTTGATGCCAGGGACATGTGCTGCCGCGCACATGTGCAGCTCCTGCCTTTAGCCTGCTTGTTTTGTCCTGGGCTGCTTCTGGTTGTCCCAGACCAGAAAAAAAAAAATAAAAAAAGGATGAGAGCCTTTCCTGCTTCTCCTGTTGTTTCCCCTCACTCCAAGCCTGAGTCGCTGACCCAGAGTGGGAGCTGTGGGAATGTGAAGCAGTGAGACGGGCAGCCAGCACTCATACAGAGGGCAAGTGAAAAATAAATTCTTCAAAACATTTGTTTTCCCATCTAGAGTAGGGGATGCCCTGGGAGAGGTCTAGTGCCGAAGGAGAGAAGGAACTGCTTTTAAAGCAGGATCCTAAAGGGATTCAGGAAGCTAATTTTTCTGCATCCCTACACATGCTTGCTTTCCCAGCCTAAACAGAGTTACAAAAAATGAGAGAGAGCAAGAAATATTTCTTGTAATATTGCCACAGTCCTGAGACTGCATACACTGATTTTATTCTCCATCGATCAAGATGTTTTCTTATGATTAATACTTAAATAAAAACGTGTGCTGAAGAATGGACTAGGAAGTTCAGACAGGTCCTGGAACTATCATAGATGAGAAGACATTTATGAGCAGAAAAGAGTTATGCTTATATGACTAGAGTAGGGATTTGTCACTGTCAGTGTCACTGGGTTTTAGATCAAGCTCTGCTATGATTTATGTTACCTAAATTACGCATAAGCCTGACTCGGTATTTGGTTTGCATTCCTAGGTGAGAGAGACAGATGGAACTAGAAATGCCTTGAACTCCTACATAAGCTTTTTGGATCAGTTCATACAAAATAAGTGAGCTTATGTGTCTGTCTGCTTCCTTTCTGAGACAAGAGAAATGAGAAATAGGTGAAATCTTGGCTTTTGCTCTTGCAATAAGCAAACCAGGAGACAGCAAGATAACAGTGCTGTTTACTTAATAGTCACTTGCAGCTTACGCCCGTCCTGGGCC